CCGTTATCACTTGTTTCGACAGAATTACAGCACTAACAAAATACTTCAGAAAAGTTTCCCAAATTCTAATTTGTATACAATGCCGATAATTCCTATACTAGTACTTCCAATCACTTCCAGTGACTGTAAACAATTGCCGCATTCAAAAACAATAACAGTACGTCGAACCACAACACGATTATAGCACCAATACATACAAATACCGAGGTGGGTCGTATATGGTGCTGGGTCGCATATGGTGCCTCTCCCCTACATATATTCCAAAAAGTTTACGGTTATGTGATGCAATTTTATGTGATCCACTATTTAGTTTTAAAGTATTATAGTTTTTATCATTATATTGTCCGATATTTTTATGAAAAGAACGGAAATCATGGCCAAAAATGTGACAGTGTAAGTATTTACTTGAATTATGTTTTAGAAATAGTAATTACGACAAAATATTCATAATAGAAGAATATTATTGAACTCGTGAAAATTCTATTGGAAAAAATTAAAGAAATACTCGAGAGTACATCTAATATTGTACACTATTCGTTCTAATAGATTTGCATTAATCCAATAATATTTTTCCACTAGAGAAAAATATGAAGTAATTGTTATATTATTACGGTTTATACTTTTACAGCAAGAAGACACGAAGTTCCCGGACAACACCATTGCAGTACACAAAAATGTTGGACTTCTTTTACTTAAACAAAGGTCTTGCGGAAGGGAAATTTAATTCATTACATGGAAAAGAAGAGACACAAAAAAAGTGGGCAGAACTAGCTGCAGAATTGAATAATGTTCAAGGAGCGACGAAAACTGCCGAACAGTGGCAAGTGGTACGCATGAATATATTCATAGCTGTGTTTTGCGGATTATCTCCTTGTATAAATCTATTAGAATTCTAATATTTTGTAAACATTGTAGTTCATAAAACGTTCATATTTTAACATAATGTCAAGCGAATTTTGATGCTTTAATGTTTACGTAAATCTTACAATTTTCAGTCAAATACACACCGTGCGTCAAATTATATATTTATGAATCTTGAAACTGTTATAACTGAGTTCTACACTGTATTTCAAAACTGACAAATATTTGACACGCTTGTTTGAACTAGAAATTATAGGATTTACGTAAAAATATTAAATATAAAGATTTGTTGTGATCATATATGACATTTCTTTGGTTGTTTGAACATTTCATAGATTGATTTTCGTACTAATATTTGAAAAATAACATAAAAAGTAATTTTATTATTTAGGTATGGAGAGATTTGAAGAGTCGTACTTCTACCAAAGCACGCGACTTGAGAAAAGCTAAGGCGATGACAGAAAACAAGTCCATCAAACAATCTGAATTGTCAGAAATGGAACTGCGAGTTATTGGGATAATCGGCGCAGAATATGTTGAAGGGAGTAAGGATTGCGCTGAAAATATTCCAGAAGAGGAGGTACACACACACACACACACACACACACGCGCGCGCGCGCACGCGCACACGCGCACACGCGCACGTACACGTACACATGCACACATCTTCACCATATCTATAATGTAATAAATATTTATTTTATATGTGTATATATTATACATATATATTTACATATATAAAATTGTTTTAATATAATAAATACTCTATACCTACATAATAATTACATAATGATTAATTGTAAAACATATGTATGAGTACATCCATTTTACAATCACACACACATTATATATAAATTATTTATTTCTAATTAAAACATCTTCAACATTTGTTTTGTCTGACAATAATGATCAACGTTATGAGGCAAGCAATTATATAATATCTATATCTATCTTTATAAAAAAGTATAATTGACTAACATATACTTTTTTCTATATTTATAGTCTTTGCAAAATGAATTAATAGATGGAAATTCCATAGTATTGGCGGAAATTCCACAAATAATAAATATTTGCAATCATCCACAAGAAAACTTTCAAGATCTGCAAACATCAAACGGAAATGGAGGTAATTACTTTTATTATTGTATTATAAATTTTAATATTACAATAAAAAATGAATATCTTAAGCTTCATTATAATATATTTTATATTTATAATTTATTTCTTAGATACCGACACCAACACCAACACGATTACGATTGACGATTGTATGTTTGATGGAAATGCATCTGACAACGAGAACATTCCCATGCAACAAAATTTGAAGAATATTGATTCAGAAACTCATCAGACTATTGTTTCCATAGATTTGGAAAGGCAAACAAAGAGAAAAACTCTAAATAGACTTTCTGCTTCCAAACCGTCGGATCTATTGATTACTACTCGCAACGGCAACATTGGTTCATCGGCCTTTTCGAGAAGATGTAATAAAGGTATAAATTATGTTATGTAGCGTTATTCTTACGAACATTTAAAAAAATTCTATTTTTTATTTTCGTACGTTATAAAACGCCTTTTTTATAGTATCTACTTTAATTTTAATAATGTTTATAATATTTTTTTAAATATTTTTTAAATAAAATTGTAGCAAATCGTATGCGACGTTCTGTTGACCAGCTTCATTCATCGAAGGAACAGTTTGAACATATTGCTGAGAAACAAGCTAATGCTATGATGGTAAGAGAAAATTCTAAAAAATCGGATTGAAATTAAATAATTTTTGTAAACATCTTTGTACGATATGATTATAATGTAATATTCTGAAATACTATTTTAGGTGCTTGCCGAGGCATCAAAAGCTCATGCAGAAGCAGCTAGGATGAATGCCCTTGCAATGACGGAAATGGCCAATGCTGCTACAAAATTGGCGACAAACGCAGAGATACAAACTGTGAACGATGCGGATAGGATACGAGTAATGGAGAAAGTAACACAAGTATTGGAAAATTTATTGCCAAGCTATGTTAATGGAGAGGTAAGAAATGTCATAGATTATTCGCGATAAATTATGTGACAATGATGTAATTATTATTTAATAAGTATCACTTAATTTCAGATTTAGTATGAAAAATAGGTAGGATTGGACAGAAATTGGATAAAACACAATTTGTGATATTAATCAAAGACTGTGATGAAGTTTGTGCATTTGCAAGTTGCAAAGTACATATACATAGAAATAGATTAATACATATAAATAATGTGCAAGTGTACATACATGTATGTATTGTATGTAATATCTTTCTTTTCTTTTTTTTCTGTCTTAAATAGAGTTGATAATGTATTATCTTTCTTGTTTGTTGCAATTTATGTATCGTTCAAGCGGCAGAATTTATATATATTAATTCATTTCCAATATGTGATATCAACAAAAGATTGTTATATTTATATCAAAGTTTATTACATTGAAACGTAATATATACATATACATATAACTAAAATGTGATAATAAACACATCGTATAATACAATAATTAAATATTACATTATATGTACAAAAATTACGTGTATTATATTATCTTCCAAACCTTTCCGCAATAAGGCGATCTTGAATTCGACGAGCGAGTGCAAGTGGTTGCAGATTATCATTATCATCGCCGATATGAATATCGAATATATCTTCTCTATTCACGTAATCTTCAAATGGATCATCAAGTATACCGTTAGCAATGCGCATATTATGTAAAACTGCACATGCATTATCGATTCTTCTTGCAAAACCAGGCTCATATTGTAAAACTCTATGTTTGGAAAGGCATCTCCACGTGCTTTTAAGTACTCCAAACAATCGTTCCACGCAATTTCTTGCACTACACAATGCTTCATTGTAGAAGAATCGTGGAGTTCCTTCAGGCTCATGAGGCAAAGGAGTTAATAGCCAGGGCTCTAATGGATATCCCGAGTCACCTGTAAAAAAAATTAAATATGCAACAATTATAGTAGTGTATTATAATATAAAAAAAACATACCAATGAGATATGTTCTTCTTTTGCCGCGATGATATGCGCGTTCCATCACAGTACGAGCAGCAGAAGCACTCCAAATATAAGTATCATGTATGGCTTCAGGAAATCTAGCATTTACATTCAAGATCTTGAGATTCGGGTCGCATACCTAAGTAATAAACATATTATATTATATTAAATAAACATTATGTCCTTGAGATTGTTATGTAAATACGCAACTTGTAAGAAATGAAATACTTATACGGTCGGAGTTCGATCTTCATGCTTAATATTTTTTGTAAATTTATACATTTTCTTTGCAAGTAAATTGTGCTCTTATTTGTGATATTACTACTCCAGCTCTTAAACTGGAGCTAGAGTAGTAATATCATAAATTAAATTGAATTTAATGATATTGATATAAATGAGCATCTGCATTGTGATACTACTACTCCAACTATAGACGTTTCATTTTTCTTACATAATATATAATTAACATACTGTAATAATTATAACGCAATAAATTAACAAATAATATTACAACAAATACCATTTGCACGTTTATTGAATGATAGCCATGGTGATTTATATAAGCTTCTTCATGTTCTCTAGGAGCAAGGATCGCCACATGGGTACAATCTATTGCTCCGATAGCTCCTTCAAATGGTTGATGAGCATTCTGAAACAGTTCTCTTGCTAACTGTCTGGCTTCCGGAGTCATAGGAAACTGCACCCATTGGCGAAAAATATGTTCATTTATTGCGTCTGTAACTCGATGAACACATCTGCTGATTGATGACTGACTCATCGAAATATCCCATTGTTCACCTACTGGGCGTTGATAACATCCAGTTGCGTATAATCTTATTGTAGACAGTACCTATGTGACATATACATTTGTAACTACCTGACTTTCGACTTGCGCGGAGTTAGCTCGTCGGAATAATTGTCCGAGGATTCGAAAGAGGTTCGATCGGTAGGAGAATGCAGGGCACGTAAAGTCTCAGACGGATGTAAAATAACAAAATAATCTGATTTATTAATTTCGCCGAAATGGCTTGTATTCTATCGGAACAGATAAAAAAAAACGGCTTGGCGCCGAGGCGGTCGCAATGTATCGGCGAATACGTGTGTATGCGTTGTGTACGCGTGGTGTTGTTGTGTGCGTGTCGCGCAAGCGGCGCGGTGTCTGATTAACAATGCAGTGTGTGTCCGTATGCGTGGTATGTGTGCGTGAAGCGGAGACGGCGCAGTGTATGCGTACGTGCGAGCGAGTGCGGTGAGTTTGCTCGCGTCGGTGTTGTGACGGGCTAGTCCCAAAAAAAAA